TGTATCTCAGTGGAAAACCACTTATTTGTCACTTGAAAAATCATTTCCTGGTTGGTTGATGATTGGAGAAGGAAATTTAGTGATAAAACCTGTATGACAAAGAAGGTTTACAACCGTTGAAAGTATGGCAGACAGTTATCTAAATCCTCTATAGATGATTGCTGATGATGATTGTAGGTTGGAATGCACGAAATGAGCCTCCTTACACGATGTACCATTCATTTTCTGTACGTCTGGTGCACACTGGGCAGCAATCGGCGAGCACACTGACATGGCAAACATTATAATGCATGCCATCGATACGATTAGAAGATTTATAGACATATATCCGCTAGTCGCTGTCAGTGGGGCTCCACCCCACCGCCGATAGTCACTCCATTAATTTGTCACAACCAGGCGTGTCCGCAACACATTCATACAAAGTACTAGATACGCTAGGTTTATACAGGATGTTCAATGTTACAATTTGGCACCGCTCGCCTCGCATACCGCCCATTTGTTTGATTGAAATAATTGAATGCATGGCTAGTGTTAGGCAATTTACAATGCAATTTTTTTGTAATTAATAAAAGCGTTACGGGCTTTGTTTTAAAGTTCATTTTGCTGTGTGTTGCCGAGTTAAAATATATTACGGGAAATTTTGGAGTACCAATGTCCACTATCGTACAAAGTAACGATTGTCATTACAAGTTTACGTGTATTATTTGAATATATAAAGATTAATTTTTATCGAGTTCTTAGGTTTTCGCGATTGTTCCACATAGGAAATGTACCTAAATCCCAAACAGACATAAGACTGCTGTAGTGATTAACATGTTTTAATTTGTACTAAGTTCCATTATTAATTAATAATAAATTTAATTGAATAAAAATGCATATTGTTGAAATAAAACAATTTGTAAAACAGATGTAGCGTAAATTGGAATGTTTTTTGTAAGGTATTTAATTGATAACTTTTGTAACTATTGTGAAAAAATATGGTGGTTTGCATTAATATTAGACATAACTGGTTGATAATTTTCAACCCTGACCATGGGACCTGTAAAGGGACCCAAAATGTTTGAAAAAACAAATATACGCGATTTAAATCCGGAAAAATAGTTTCATTTCCTAGAAAAAAGTGAACAACAAGAAAAGCCTGCGATTATTCTTCGCTCATTAAATACAATGTTAATTTTAACTAGCCTGAAACCTCTAAACGCAACATGATATCTACATCATTATTGGTATAAATTTTATAATTATTTTTTAATTAAACCAAAAATTGTTCCTTATCTTAAAATTGTAGCGAATGTTTTTTGTTTATGTGGCATAAATTTTCCATCACGAAATATTCCAATACCCACACTAACTCAGACAAACACATACACCCACACACACACACACTCGTACACAAAATTACACAGATATATTTATCACAATTTGCATATTACAATGTATCCAATTTGTTATATAATTATTACTTAGAGTACTTTTTATCGAGACTTTTAATAATAGATTCTTTCACTTTATTTTTTTGTATTAAATTTTTAATTTATATTTTTCTCATGAAATAGACTTAAGCCTTGTCAAAATTTGGGAGAGGGCACTGGCTCCTGTCACACAGGTTATACCTAGCTCAGGAGTCAGGGACTTCATCAATATGTTGTAATCTATTTTGTGACAATAAATATTATTATCATTCTTCATTAACCCATTTATATGTCCCACAGCTGGACAGACGTCTTCCGAGGGTCATGAACTTTCTTCAACTTGCAGGTTTCACCACGTCTTCCTTCAATGAAAAGCTCATGGTAAATTTTAATTTTAAATTCGCACATACATTCCGAGAAACTCAGAGGTGTGAGATCGAATTCGAACACCCGACCTCTGCGTGAGAGACGGTAGATTAAACTATTAGGTTACCACGGCTTTTGTCTATGTCATTGCTACAATTAAAATTGAAGAAGACCTTGTTAATAAAGTAGTCTTCTTGGGAGTGATATTAGATAGTAAACTTCAATGGTTTCCACATATATCGTCCCTGGCCAGCAGATTAAGCTCCGTGCATACGCAGTCCGCAGAATACGTGAGCTTACCGATATTAGTACTGCTAGACTAGTTTACTTTAGTTACTTCCATAGTATAATGTCCTACGGGATTCTCATGTGGGGTAAAGCGGCAGATATTCAAACCATATTTATTATGCAAAAGTGAGCGATTCGTCCTGTGTACCCTTTAGGCTGTCGGGTTTCTCTCAGAGAAAAGTTTAAGGAGATTGGTATCATGACATTTTATATGCCCGTAAAAATATATACAATTTCAATTTCAAAGAAAGAAGATATCCATAATATTAACCTTAGAGCTAAGTCCAAACTATATACGTTATTACAATAAGATTCCGGAGCATATATTAGATTATCATTTCCTAAGTTTAAAAACTACATTAAACATATTTTGTTTGAGAAGTCTACGTGTTAAGTAAAGATGTATGGAAAGACGATACAGCTCGCGAATCCACACAAATTTGAGTCAAAGTGTATTCCATAGCATTTAAATTTATTTGAAAAGACCAATCCCTAGAGTTTCTTGCTCGTGCTTCTCAGGGAGGTCAGCGTAGTGAACGAGCAGTAGCTTAAATGTGACGTTTTCAAGTGTACATTTATTTTAGGTATGGAATAAATGATTCTCTGACTTTGAAAACTAACTCGTTTCAACTTACAAAGGTTAAGTGTCAGTTAAAGATAACTCTGCTTGACTTTGAAAAAGAATACAAGGGTTTACACACACACGGGTGCACGCTCCTTGTATCTGTAATATAATCTGATACAGCGAGCGTATGACCGCTTCATGACGAACAGATACAAAGATGACTGGCCAGAAGTATGGCATTAGCTAATCGCACCATGACTACACAGGACTCTAATATCAGATCCGGATAGCCGCTGATAAATAAGGTAAATGTATAACATATTATGATGTTTGATTCATTGATTATAGAACAATGAAACTGTTCATCGCCCCGTTGTCGACGTAATAAAGCCGCAATGTATACCATGGCTGAACATGTGTGATAAACCTCCCCGTGGCTATATTTAAATCAGTAATAATAATACTTTACTTATTTGGTAATGAACTATTATTATACATTTTGAAGAACAAGGACTACGATATAACATTGCGTATATAGCTATCTTTGTCGTTTAATCATCGCCGCAAAACCTTTTGTTTTTCTCTTCACTTACAGTTTTATGATAGTGGCAGTGGTTACGAACTCGTGTCACACTGTGCCACTCACTCAGATCGATGAAGCGATATGCTTCGCCAACGGTATTTTCCAGGGCTACACAGAGATGGGCAGTGCGTTAAAACACAATGAACCCGCTCGGGTTTTTACCAATTTCTGCTCAAAATCGTGGGCAGACACGGTGAATACGGTATTTGGTGTAATTCCATACTTATTACAAATTTCGATGTAAAAAATCTTTTTCAGACGAAAAACAAGCAACTCGATACCCACCAGGCAATACCTTACAATCCTGTGGTTTGTCACAACTAAGGATGCACTTATGATTCGATTTTTTAGTAACCATAACATATTGTCGTTATCTGAAAATTGTGGAATTAAGAAAGCACGATTTAAAAATTAAAAAAAAACCGAATGTAACCAATTACATCAAACTAACTAATCAGAATAATAGCAAACCTCAAAGTGATAGTTGTTTGCCGACCTCACTTCCAGAAGCACAAGTTACACACGCTTCCCTCAATATATATACCTATATGAGATTTGTAAATTTGTTCGCAATAAGGAGATTTTTTTTTAAACGCCGTCAACACAAATATAAAATAATCACATCATTATCAAGAAGACCCCTTCTCATTTTTAAAAATATTCAAATTGTGTTTTGTCCGTTCCACAATTTTGAGTTTTTATTTTATAATATCAAGGGGCAGGACAAACAAGTCGTGCGCCTGATGGTAAACTACATGCCTGTCTATAACAGTTGTAGACAGTACAACTGTTATAGACAGGCATGTAGCTTACCATCTTTAAATCACAAAGAACTGAGGGGCACTGCCACTACGGCCATCAGCCTGAAACATAAGTTGACAAGTGTCTGTAATTTCACCAGCACCCTTACACTTCCCCAGTATTTAGTTTCGTAAGCGAAATGCTAGAAAGAGATCTTATCGGAATGATACGATATGCTTTTATAACTCTACTTGCCAGGCAAGTTGGTTATTATTAGACATCTGATTGTATGGTACAGTTCTCAACAAGTCCTCAACCCGCAATGTGACTATGACCTAAATCTTAGAGGATCAATCATCGTAAAGAATGTTTAATAGTAGTACAGCTCCTTGTAAAAGATATCGTCGAAGGAAGTTCTGCCACCATTAATGCGTTTCGGTTTTGAAGGGTGCTGGTGAAGCTACATGGATGGAACTTGTCAGTTTTATGTCTTATATTGACGGATGCAACGACAGTGCCCGGCAGGGCGCGTTTTACGGTCACCATACGAGACGCAAATTTTCGTGTTATAAACTAAGTTAGACCTTTTGCTACCAGGGGTGCAGACCACGTAGGGAGGTCCGATAACGAAGACACGTGACTTTTTAGATGGCGGACAATGACGCCTTTACATTTCCATTCTCGTACCGCGAGGCAGCTTATCGGTAATCACAACTCGCAAAGTAAACATCCAAAGGTTTATATCTTATTAATTAAGATGACCTTATGGATAAAAAATTTATTCATTTTGCAATAAATAACGGGACGCATACTATTTTTATGTAGTATATTTATAAAACTCATTTAGAAAAAGACTTTAATAAATATATTTTTATATAATTATATTTAATAGTATAAATCACCTAATTTTCTTTTTTTTGCGCACATGTGTAATACTTATTACATTACATTATTATTACATTACATATTATATTATTACATTACATATATATTACATTACATTATAATACTTTTTAAATCAGCAAATATAAGATAAGGTACATACCTCCGGACGCGGCGAGCAGGCCGCGCGCGCGCAACAGCGCCAGCAGGAGCAGCGGCAGCAGCGGGCGGCGCCGCATGCCGCGCGACACCGCTGCGCCCGCGCCGCGTCGCCGCTCGCCCCCGCGCTCGCCCTCACCTAAAACAATAACACACAACCAATAAAGATAGAGCTCTGAGTTGTGCGAAAACTTTCAAATATGAAATATCAAACTCAAAGGACATTTCAAAGAGAGGTTTCTGATAAAATGCGAGAGAAAATCTATAACGTTATCAATGGACAGAAATAAAAATGATTTTACCGAAAACGGTCGCACAATCTTTTTCGACGCCGTCGCTCGAACGGAAAAAGTCATAGTGCCTTCCAGATACCGACCAATATTTTATCTAAAACAAATTCTCGGGAAATTTCTATCAATCAACCTTTCTTTTGTAATATTCTTAAAAAGTATTTTTATCTGTAGAGATTCATTTTGCTATCGATAATTATTCTAAGAAATTTAAAGCTACAGAGAACACTTGGCCGCGTTTATTTCCCAAACAATACCACCTGTGTATTTATCGTGGAAGGCTACTAAGCTATCACCGCTCTTAAATCGTTGGAACATTAATTACCCTTTTTACTGACAGAGTAAGACCTATTTTCCCCCGTAACTCCAAATCAAAGTGCCCTATAGAATTTTATATAAAGAATACAATACGGTGTCTTATTACTTGAATCAATCGAGTCCTTTCCGTGAACCCATGTATGGCACGTTACTTGTAATTGAATTGTCACATCATTGGACCCGAGTGGACACTGCGCTTCAATGAGCTTGGGAGGATCAAGTTGAAAGATAAAGAAAGTAAATTACTGTTTCGTGCTGAATATAGATTTCTCTGAAAAAAGATGTTTTGCCAATGTACGCACGCTTGACTGGAATCCAGGACCGCAGTCAGTCGTGTGTGTCTTATTTATACATATGATTTGTAACATCTCGATCAGGTAGGGAATATAAATGAAAAAGAAAAGTTAAAAGAGCAAACTATTATGTGTGGAGAAACTGATGCTAGTGGAGGAGGACGAAACAGCGTTATCAGGAATGAAGCTAGTGAAGAAGGTGAGTGGGAGACAGGCGTGATGGTAAAAATATGCATATATTTAATAAATTTCTATTGCACTCTAAAGTCGCCTTTGTTGTTAGCGTTCTGAGCAGTCATTGACAAATTTGACCAATTTCAAATTGGTTTTTGTCCTGGTTATTAGCGTCATTAGAGTCATCGGTACTTCTGTGTGCCATCGCAAGTGTCACGGCAATATAATAGATTACTCCAGTTCATGTTAATTTATTGTATAGTCAGAAGAAAAGGTAGGGTAGAAAAGGAACGGGAACACGGAACAGACTGTAACAAAAATAAGGAATATAAAAACAGGTACAATATTATAAAACACTCTGTTAGTACGCACAAACAGTTCAGACACTTACCACAAATAGGCCTGTGTACATATAATATATATGCAATGCTTTAAAATAGCTCGTCCTCACTTTTTGAGAATTTGGTGAGAACGACGACGGAAAGAAGAAAGGTGAGAATGACGAAGCAAAAGAATTAAAGATTGATTCAAAATTTCGAAAGTAAATGGCCAGGAACCATAGAAAAGGGCGATAAAAAGTTAGGATGACGATGAATAAGGTCGCATCGTCACATCTGTACTCGAAGTACGGTTAGTCCTCTAGTTTCAATCCGGGTTATTGATGTGATTAACATTTTAAGATTATTCAATGGAGTTGCAATTACGCATAAAGATATTGCTGCTGTAACTTTTGTCTCTTCTTTGATGATAATGATACCTTTACCACGGGAAACTGTCGAAAATCTACTACAGATTAATCTTCTGTATATTAGGACAATGCTTTCGTGTAATTCGGTTTCATTATTCAATAGTTCCGCTGTCTTACAACTTGGACCACAATGTAACATGAAAATAACACCAAAAAAAGATGGAAGAAAGAAATTTTTGAGGTAAACACTCTCGAGTGATTTCCTTTTCTTTATCTAAAACTTTTCCATTGTACTCGACGGAGACCTCAAAAGGTATAGAATGAAAAACAGTATAGAGTTAGACTTTAAAGGAAATCATGATAAGAGAATTTGTTACGCGACAATAGTACAAGAACGTAGGGAAACACTGATCAATAAGGTTTCGATCTTTGTCGTGTTGTAAAATTCAATAAAAAAATATGAAGTTTAAATTAGATGCATAATTATGTTTAATATGAAACATATACCGGTAGATGGCATTACTAGGATTCTACATCAAGCCGTCGAAGTGTTTGTGTATATTTTAGTAATAAGTTGGTGCATTTTTCCTACACCCTTATGGCACAGTAGCAGTAGAGCTCCTTGTGAAAAGGTTCGTCCAGGGAAGTACTGCCACCTTACCTGTTTCTACCGCCAAGCTGTAATGGTCACATTAGTGTGTTCCGGTTGTGAAGGGTAAGGGTGCTGGTGAAATTACAGGCACATGAGACTTGTAAACTTATGTCTCAGGGTGACGGGCGCAGAGGCAGTGCCCCCAAGATCTTTGTAATTTAAAGCTCTTGGTGGCACTGCAACTGTTATGGGCATGCGTGTAGCTTACCACCAGGCTCACGACTTGTTCGTCCCGTCACTTACTATTATAAAAAAAAAAAAAAAAACAAAAGTTTCACACTGCTTGACAACTCAGTCTCGTTGCTTGTCTGCAATCTTCAGGATGCTCCCGTTTGAAAATTCTAAAGTTATTTTTTATGTCACGGCCATTATCTAGAAGTGACAAATGTAAAACATAATGTGTCAGATAACTACGCCTGTGACCTGGACTCAAACTAGGGAATCCCTTGTACTATGAAATACCAGAGCAATGACCAAAAACGACCATTATCCAAATTGGCGCCACCGGGAATAGAAACTTAAGATTCATTTAAAGCTAAACGCTTGGAGATCTTTCTTAGATAGAGAAAGTACACGAGAGTGAGTACACGATACCCACAAGACGTTTCTTGTAAACTTAATAATCCAATTTTTTATTAAATTTATATTAAAGACAATTAAGGATGACGGATGACGGTAAGGGCGGCGAGTATCCGATGAATGCACGTCGCGTCCGACCGACTAGTCTGGCAATCTTTGGGGCCTATGTTCAGCAGTGGACGTCTTCCAGGTGATACGATGATGATGATGAACGTTTTTTAAACGTGTCAAAATTATTTCTTGAAAATTGTACTCTAAAGTCACTCGGATAGCCATAACTTAACTTAACGTAACTTCTATACAAACATCAAATCGACTTGTCACTCAAGGTAACTAGCTCTCGTTAATTTTCCCATTTGAAAGTTAAACGTGATTTTCGCATTAGTAACAACCCTGTTTAAAACACCACTTCCCTCTCAATATCATTTGGGGCCCTTTATCAAAATGAACCGTCACCACAAAGAGGGAGGCGCCATTCATCGTTACAATGGGTCCCGCACCTGCCCGGATATTCCACTGCGTTAAATTCAAACGCGCTTTTTATCTAATTTAAGTTCTAATTCTAGTTATCCCGTTTTCAATTCCCCTAACGACCAGTTAACGTCAGTATAACCGCATTATCAAGAAAATTAAAAACAATTTGTTAGTAGGTCAATGAACAATATAGACATTTTTCATTCTTCCCGTAATATTTTCAAAAACAACATTTCCGAATCGTTTCCAAGCAATTTCATAAGTTCTTTGTTGTCCTTTATTGTTGCTTTTTAGTTTGTTGCTTTATTACATAATTATGTTAAATGCTGTGGACGTCTGTAATAGGTAAACATATAAGTACAATACTAATGTGAAGTTAGACTGTTATCTAAAAGTATATGTACTACTGTAGATGTCATCATTATCATCAACAGCCCATCGTAGTCCACTGCAGGACATAGATATCTCCCAAGACGCGCCATTTCGCCTGGACCTCAGCTCGTTGCATCCAACGAGGGTGTCCTACACTACGTTTACCGAGTCGTGGTCTCCACTCAAGAACTCGCTTCCCCCATCGGTTGTCGATTCTTCGGTAGGTATGGCCCGCCCACTGTCACTTCAGCTTGCCTATTCTACTAGCTATGTCGACGACCTTACGATGTTTCGACGACGTACGACTGTTGATGTACATTATCTATAAAATAAAATATAACCCAAAAGAGTTGAAAGTAGTTTAGGAATAAAATCCAGAATAGTTTTTATTTGCAAGGCGTGTTGATCTGAGAAGGATGCTTAAGAAACTATGTTTTTTTTATGATAACAAGTTATATGAATCCTCTAGAGACCTGCTGAAAGAACTATACTTAACTTTAGTGCAATCTGTCTTAGTGTATTGCATACCTGTCTGGGGTGGTGCGGCGAAAACGAGGTTTCTTGATGTAGAACGAGCTCAACGCAGTTTGATTAAGGTCATGTATTTTAAGATGAGAATTTGTACTGAACAATTGCACAACTTGTGTGAGCTCCCCTCGGTGAGAAAATTGTATATTACCAACATAGCATTAAAAAAACATAAAACTTTAGCATATGATCATAGCATCAGATAGAAAAGAAGGTAAGTACCAACACTGTATTTGCAGATAGGCGATACAACAAACGTGCGGCTAATACATACAACACTTTAAATAAGGAATTAAAACGCACACACACATACACACACACAATGCCATAAAGACACACACTCATCCTATATAAATGTATATATAAGGTAATTGGTATTGAATTAAAAATAGAATGAATATTATACATTATACAATATATATATAATCTAATATAATAATATAAAAATATGATAAGATAACATAAAATAATGTATTATATAATAATAATAATTTTTGATAATATGTTTGTTTGATAATGTGTTTAATATGTACAATATTTCAAAAAAAAACTTTTTAATAATAATAAACAGTAACAATGTTTTTATCGATTACCTGCGAGACAGGCTTTGCCTAGTGCAGGAATCGTAGGAAATTCTCTGTACGCGATATACGCTACAATTGAGTTGTGTTACCAGGTTCTTTGTCGTAACTAAATTGTAAAGTGCCTCCACAAGTTCATTTGTAAAATAAATTATTTTGTATTTTTGTATTAAAAATCTACAGCAAATTAGACTATGAGTGTAGCGCGCGCGCGCGCGCGTTAATTTTGAATCATTAGTTGGTTTATGTAATATAACACGTGTAGCGAATGAAGAACGGTGCCTCCTGACACAGGCTATGCTTGAAAAGAGGCTCCATCCACTATTGTTTAAGAAACCATGTTTTTAAGAAATAAAGATTTTATTTATTTATTATTATATAACGAACCAGTCTAATAATAAAAATAACACTAGTGGCAGTTCTTCCCTGGACGAACTCTTTCACAAGGCGCTCTATTGCTACCTAATTTCGATGGCACGTTTTATTATTTAAATATTCAAATAAATTATCGTAAAATATAAAATAATATTTCAGGATACTACACTCAAATGTTACATAATACTAATATTCTAGAATATTCAAATAATCGAAATTTGGTAGAGAAAATTGACCAGCAACAAATAGGTTCACATTCATCATTCGCAATGATTATCAAGCCG